CATGGTAACCTGTCAAGAATTCTCTTTAAGTTACTCCCCACAGAATAACAAATCACTTTCTGCTGATGAATACTTTTTTTATGATGGGGTTACAGAATTTTTCATCAGCATTATTCACAATTGTAAGATTACCACAAAAGCAGGTAATCGTCAAACATATGTTTATTTGTGTCTTCATTCTCTCTTAGAGTGTTATTTTATTCCCATACTTCTTGTGTATCTCTACATCTTTTATGGCAGTTGTTGTCAGGTGAAAGGGTTTATTCTGCATGGCTTCATCATGTCTTTCAAAAACAATAAAAAGGCTCCCGTAGGGACTCAAGTCTTAAAAACATCAAAGGTGGAGTTTTATTGCAAGTGAAACTATTCCACTAATTCATTAAGAAATCTTCTGTGTTTGATAGAGAAAATCAAAAGCTAGACTTCCATAGAAGGCAAACTATGTTAGTTCAGGCACAAAGACATTAAAAATTTTTGCTGCACACGGTGTTGATAAGACAGGGATGTTTTAGCTATTGCTGAGCAGTGCTTACACAGATCCAAGGCCTTTTCTGCTTCTCCCAGAACCTCTCAGGGAGTCCAGGAGTGCACAAGGAGATGGGAGGGGACACAGCTGGGACAACTGATTCCAATTGACCAAAGAGATATTCCAAATCATACAGTTTCATGAACAGCAGATAAAGCTGGGGGAATGAAGGGAGGGTAGTATTCCAGTGATGGCTTTTATCTTCCCAAGTCACCATTATGCTTGACAGAGCCCTTCTCTCCTGAAGGTAGCTGAAAACCTGCCTGCTTATGGGAAGAGATTAATTCATTCCTTGTTTTCCTTTTTTTTATGTGCATGGCTCTTGCTTCACCAATTGAACTGCCCTTATCCCAAGCCATAAAGTTTTTTCACTTTTCTGATTTTCTCCCCCATCTCTGGGAATGGGCGAGGGGGCAGCTGCATGGTGCTTACCTGCTGGCTGGGGTTAAACCGTGACAGCTGAATAAAGCAGAGTAAAAGTCTTACCTAATACCTTGGGCTAAATACATTGAAAAATGTAACTTATGTACATTTCAAGACTAAGTTTGCAGGTTCTCAAAAGGAAGGAGCTCAGTGGTGAAATAGCTACAATATACTAGGAACAGCCAGCAATGAGTCTGGAAGAGTGTAATATAAATAGCATTAATACTAGACCTGTTCTCTGCTGCTTGCATGTCAGTACAGATTTGAACCAGCTTGAATTTGGGTACAGAACCACTTTTCAACTAGACACCTTTGACACAGTAAGATTACCCAACAGAGTTTTCCTTTCACAAGTTTCTTTTTATTATCTAGATCACAATGCACCCTGTGTACTGTTGGACACAGAGTTATCAAGTATATTTTTCTGAGGGAATTTGAGACCTATCCTCTATATAACATGTTGTCAAAGCATAATGAAGTCATCAGTGTGACTCCTCCTGGGATCCCCTTTCAGTCTCCATACTCAATTTTGGACAATTTTTTCTAGATTTGGAGTTATGTTGCATTCTGACTATGATTTTGCACATAGTGTTTTGTTGATCTCTTTGCATTTCCATTCCCATATGAGTTTAGTTCATCGGTCTTATATGAACTGCTGAGACATCAGTGAAACCTCAGTGATTGCAGGATTCATTTTTAAAATTATTTCAGGATTGGGCTGCCAGCAGAAAAATTGAAATGTAAAAAAATAATAATAGGATTATGACTTACATAAAACATTGAAACTTGATCTAGTAAAAGAAGTCCCTGCCTACAGCCCAGAGGTGTGAGATGAGAAGCAAGGGCCAAGGCAATGGCTGAAGCTCTCTGTCTGTGTCCTGCACCTCCTACGGTACCTGTGCACACAGGGAGATGTGTGGCTGATTTCACTGGAGAATGATTGGGTTGAAGGGGGAGCTCCTGTGGAGATAAGAAGGTCATGCTTTGGCTCAGAAGAACAGCACAAACAGAACAAAGTCATGATCTAAACTTTAAGAAGACGTGGCCAAAAAAGTAACTTTTGCCTGATAAAGTCAGTTACATATTAAATTGCAAGCTACTGTATGTGCTAATAAGTTTTACGAAGTATGTGCTGTCACATATATGATTATATTACTCAATTCTCCACCTAGATCATGCCTCACATAAGAGAGAGAGTGGGATAAGATCATGTTGTATATAAGGAGAATAGAAATTTAATCTGTTTGGGAGGAAGACAAAATGACCTTGGAGTCAGTCAACAGGCTACTCTCTTCTCCCTCCTCCCAGCTGGGCAGGCCTTCTTGGTAAGATTATTCAAATAATAATAGTAGTAGTAATAGTAGTAGTAATAGTAGTAGTAATAGTAGTAATAATAGTAGTAGTAGTAGTAGTAGTAGTAATAGTAACAACGAGAAGGAGAAGGAGAAGGAGAAGGAGAAGGAGAAGGAGAAGGAGAAGGAGAAGGAGAAGGAGAAGGAGAAGGAGAAGGAGAAGGAGAAGGAGAAGGAGAAGGAGAAGGAGAAGGAGAAGGAGAAGGAGAAGGAGAAGGAGAAGGAGAAGGAGAAGGAGAAGGAGAAGGAGAAGGAGAAGGAGAAGGAGAAGTCACATATAGGTAAAACCATACAAAAGAAAGGCCTTGTAAAATCATGGTTCAGGCCTTGTTACTTTGGCTAAGTATAGCCAGAAGCTAGCCTGGTAAGTTCCCATGCAAAAACATCTTCAAAATGAAAAATTCATTAACATAACAAACTATTCTTGGGGAGAAAAACAAGTTCACCTGTAATAACAAGGGATCTGTTCCATAAGAATCAGTAGGAAAAGTATGTAAACATTGTTAGAGAGACGAGTTTTGATTGACATGTACACTTACCATTACCAACCAGTGAACTGAGCTCCTAATGAATTATAATTAAACACAGTGCTTTCTAATAACCATATAAATATAAGCTGTGTGCAATAAAGATTAAGCTATGATAGAAGAAGAAACAGGTGTCATTGTCCATCTCTACTACAACAACAGTAACAATAGTAATAATAAAAATAATATCTGGGGTAATGTAACATTATTTTTCTTGTTGGAGCTCTATTATAGTGCATTTAGCACTGTCAGTTCTGAATTTGTAGCTCTGTTGCTTCAATAAACTATGCTATTCTCTAGTCTGTGATTGCAGAAGTTCTTGTTGAATGCAACCAGATCTATAGAGCTGAATTGCTAAGCCTCTCTCTTTGTGGAGCTGTGCTCATTCTTATTTGACACAGCCAGGCTTACAGTGCTGAATTTGCAAAAAATCAAAAAAGAAGGCAAGCAGCACCCAGCCTCTCTGATCTCTGAGGACCAACTGGAATGCAAGGCTGTTCATCTTCTGCCAACTTTCTATACCCTTAATGCAACACAGAGGTTAGTCTGCATGATCTTTGAATGTCTCTTCCAATGGAAATGATTCAATGGATCTTAAGTTATGGTTTAATTTTATCACATAGACCTCACAGAAAAGATGATATTTGATGTATAATTTAGAATCAGCTCTGAGCAAAGAAGAGCAGGAACTCAGCTCAAAACTTGCTCCCCTTTACTAGTTGTGTATTTCTGTCATGAGTTAAAATGCTAATGCTATGAGCAAGCATATGTATCCATTATTTAACAAAACAAAATCCTTTTCCAAATAGTTTCTGATATTTTGCAAAGCAAACAGACAGCAACAGACAGAGAAAAATATTACATATAGTGAGAGATCCTAGGCAGAAGCAACTCATTGTGAAGCAGTATTTATATTATGAGGCTTTACCTTCATTTTATTCCATTGGAGAAAAAAACACAAACAAAACAAAGCCCAGAAAGAATGAACTTGTGACAGATCCCATTATTTTCATTTGTTATTGAGGGAGGGGCCACTGAACAGTGATTTCTCTGTTGACAGGTGCAACATCTCTGTCTGTGGTCTACGGGAAGATGAATCGATTACTGTTCAATCTCTTGTTCCATCCTCATGAAAGCATACACTACATAAAGGTGCCCAACCTGTAAGAAAAAAACCCACTATCAAGCAATCAAAAAATTTCTGAGAGGTTATTTTGCTGTCCGTGAGAGGGCAGCAAACACTCAATACAGGAAATATTTTTATCATTCCAGATAATTTTCAGGTCGAAAATTATCTACTTAATAATTTTTACTAAATACTGCTTGATTTCAAAAGCAAAATCTCATAACATTTTCCTCTAATAAAAAGAGCAGAGCCAGAATTAATAAATGCCTGAGAAATGCAAAACTACCCTTCTTTTTAAGAATTTAATTTTTCAATTGCTCTAAAAATAGCTATACTCTTGTCTATTCCACCACTGCTCTGGAAAATTCTGTAAAAAATATTCGCCCAAAAGAATACTTTTACCTTAAAAAATGAAAAATGAAAAAATGAAAGTGAAATATGTAAAATCTCAGTTAGCATACTTGTACTGCTAAATTCACCTTCAGATAACATTCAGAGACGGCGGGAAATGAAGATGTGAAAAAAACCCAAGGACTGGTAGAATTTCTCAGAAACCCGATTGGACAGAATTTGCTGCAAGATTATCCATTAAAAAAAGTGCAGTAACTGTGTAAACGGAGAAGCCACACAGGAAAATCCCTACAAGCAGGTTAAACTGAAATACATTACACATACATCTTTGAAAATAACAAATCAGAGCATAATTTAAATGAATCAATAAGTGAGGTAACTTTTTATGAATGAGCTTTTCCTTCTAAATGATCACGACATATCAAACGAGAATCATTGTAAAAAACAAACACGCTGTCCTTTCTATTTGAAAGACGACGAACGACCCAAAAAGTGAACTCATTGTGCCCCGGGGAAGGGAAATTCACAAAAATCCCGATATTTTCTGCTCTCGGGACACGCGGGAATGAAAGCGGGGGGAGAGCGGGAGCAGGGGCCAAGCCCCGCCCCCTTTGCTCTGCAGTTCTCAACCAGGTCGGACCCGCAGCAATAAAGGCGGCGGCGGGAGCGCCGCTGGCTCAGAGCGGCAGCGGCAGCAGCAGTAGCGGTTCCATCATGTCCGGTCGAGGCAAGGGCGGCAAAGGGCTCGGCAAAGGAGGCGCCAAGCGGCACCGTAAGGTGCTGCGTGACAACATCCAGGGCATCACTAAGCCGGCCATCCGCCGCCTGGCTCGGCGCGGCGGCGTCAAGCGCATCTCGGGGCTCATCTACGAGGAGACGCGCGGCGTGCTCAAGGTGTTCCTGGAGAACGTGATCCGCGACGCCGTCACCTACACGGAGCACGCCAAGAGGAAGACGGTCACCGCCATGGACGTGGTGTACGCCCTCAAGCGCCAGGGCCGCACTCTGTACGGTTTCGGCGGCTAAAGCCTTGTGCTCGTACTGGACCATCTCGACAAGAACCCAAAGGCTCTTTTAAGAGCCACCCACTTGTTCCTTAAAAGAGCTGTGTTACAGTTTTATGAATATCAGAACGGGGACAACCATGACACCGTTTTATTATCTCTCTAAAACATTTAATGTAATGCTACTAAGTTTTTGAGTGCTTCCTAATGTGTAGCTTCACTGTTTGCAGGAAATTCATGTTTGCTATAGATGATTCCTTTTGTGTTCCAAATTCTCTCAAAACTAATTTCAACTGCTTTGTAATAAAAATCATATTTTTTGAATGCTTGCTGGTTTAAACATTAAAGTAAAATGCTATTCTCTGTCTTGATTTTTCAATTTTGCATTAAATTTTAAATTTTGCCTTAATTTTGCCTCTTAACTGGATATAGAGAAATTTGGACAAATTTTTCGACTAGGGACAAACCAGAAAGTTGCTCTGAGATAATTTTTTTTTCTAATATTTCAGTTTCAACCCCTTCATTTCTCTGTCTAGGACTTACTTGCTTTTAAAATAATAGTAAATCTATTACGGTTTTCTAGTGATCATTTGAGGAGGGGGATGGAGAGGGGGGGAAGGGAAGGGAAGGGAAGGGCTAGGAGGGAACTAGACAATAAAAGCAAATTATAACTCGAGAGCAGCATCTAAAAAAGTATAAAAAGCCTTGTGTTAACATTTTTTTCATTATCACATACAAAGAGCACTGTAGTCTGGGGGTCACTTCAAGAAAATTTTTCTTGTAATTCACAACTGCAAGGAAAAAAAGTGCTTTCAACTTTATATTAAAAATATTGAAAAAATCACTTGGCACTTGTAAGCAATGATATCAAATATATACGGTCACATCTGGTTTTCTCACTTCGTGCGTAGGGAAAATTAAATAGGAGACTAATATAATCTTTTGCAATTATTTTCACCATAAAATAAAAATGGCCTAAGTATTATCATCATAATCACAATGTTCCTGATGGTATGTAAAGCTTTTCATTCAGAATGTCCTAGTGAAATTAAACATGAAAATATGTGAAAATACTACCTCAAAAACTTCATCATGACAGCCTTGTAAATACTTATCATAGCTACGAACTTGTGTTACTGGATTTTTGGAGCGCCTTTGTTTCAAGGTACCAACCCATCTGTCCTTCGTGTCTCAGTTAATAACGTGCCTAGTCACGTAAGCAGCTTTGTACGGCGCTGAAAAAACCTTTTCCTTCTTTTGTAACCAGCCTATCACTTAAAAAAAGTAAACCGAAACAATTGTGGACACAAAGAAAAAAACCAGGTGCAAGTAACTGCTCAATTGTACCCCCTGCGCTGTTTACAATCTGTCAGGAGGCTGGCAGGGATGTAGAGCCGGAGAAGCAGGAGGGTTACGAGCGCTGTGTCCGGAGCACCCGGCCCGCCCCGGGCCCTGGGAGCGATCGGAGCGGAGCCGAGCGGCTCCGGCACAGCTTCAGCTACCCCTGGCCCTGCTGGCATCCCACGGTAGCCAATCAGAGCGCGCGGCTTGCGGGCCAATCAGAGCACGCGGATTCCAGGCCAATCAGAGACGCGGCAGCTCTTTAAATACCGGCGGTTCAGGCAGCGCCGAGCTTATTTCTTTTTCTCTCCCTCCCTTTGCGTTCCTGCTTCGCTATGGCGCGCACGAAGCAGACAGCGCGTAAGTCGACGGGCGGGAAGGCGCCCCGCAAGCAGCTGGCTACCAAGGCTGCCCGCAAGAGCGCGCCGGCCACGGGCGGCGTCAAGAAGCCGCATCGCTACCGGCCCGGCACGGTGGCGCTGCGCGAGATCCGGCGCTACCAGAAGTCCACGGAGCTGCTGATCCGCAAGCTGCCCTTCCAGCGCCTGGTGCGCGAGATCGCGCAGGACTTCAAGACGGACCTGCGCTTCCAGAGCTCGGCCGTCATGGCGCTGCAGGAGGCCAGCGAGGCTTACCTGGTGGGGCTCTTCGAGGACACCAACCTGTGCGCCATCCACGCCAAGCGCGTCACCATCATGCCCAAGGACATCCAGCTGGCCCGCCGCATCCGCGGAGAGCGCGCCTGAAGAGTCTCCGACCTCAGGTCCACAGCAAGGGCTCCTGAATTATTTTGCCCAAACCCTAAAGGCTCTTTTAAGAGCCACTACATTGCACAAGAGAGTTGAAACATAGCCTTTCTTACAATACAGTGATTCTAACGTTCTTCAAGATTATTGCAATTCCAGGATAAGCATACTAATAATTTCAATCATTTACCTGGAGCTTCTCTCTTGTCTAGGTAGTGTTGTGTGCTGTTTTAGTGAGGTGCTTGCTAAAGCCCATTGAACCACAGAATAAGTAAATGCACAGAGCAAATGAATGTTCAGATATGCAAATGAAAAATTGCGCTACTAGGTCAGACAGCCCACACTTTACCCCACCCCTTTCCCTCCCCCCACCCATAATTTGATACTTTTTCTGAAATAGACTTCTTGGACTAGCCCCTGTTTTATTTTAAAGCACTGTGGAATGTATAACCTGAGTTAGTATTGGAAGAAAAACATCAAGTTTCCCTGCTTTTTATTGACTATTGCATTCTATAGTTGCTTTTGCTGTGGTGTACTCTTGAAATTGTAACTGGATATCTCAGAGCCCTACCTTTACCACGTGACTAAAATAGAAGTGCTAAGATTATAAACTTGATGATAGGATTGAAAATTGAAAAATTCAATAATTTAGTCTAATTGATTTATTTTTTTCCTTTTTTTTTGGTAGCATGTGTTTCTGTGTGAGTGTTATGACTGAGGACAGGCTGGAGAAGATGACCAAGGAGAACCTGGGAGGGCAAAGAGAATCCAGTGGTTGTTTCTGACAGGCCACCTGTCTTCTATTGTCGCAATCCATGGAGATGACTGGCACAGAGGAAGTTCTGTGCCTTCTGTTTGGGACCAGATCAGCTGAAGAAAAGAAAGTGGCTGTGAAGACTTGACAGATTTAGCCAACGGGAGACCCGTAGGAAATAGGATTATATTATTTTGAGCATTAAAGGTAAGTGATTTGTATCTGATGACAAGAAAACTGAGTCAGGAGGGAAACATGCACAGGGAGATCAAAGGCCAACACTTAGCAAAATTTAGTTAATTCAATAAAATTTTGTAGTCAGGAAATTACAGTTGGCCTTTAGTTCAATTTTTGGTTGTGCCAACTCTTAGAGTCTGTCACTGTTTTAGTAGTTTAGAGAGGTCATGTTTTCTACAAATTCACAAATAAAGCACTGAAATTTCTATTGATTTTGCATCTTTGCTCTCACAATGTATTTTCTTCTGTCCTCGACAATGGACTGTCCAAAACCCTCCTGTAAATGTTATCAGCCAAATTGTTCAGAAATTAAAATTCAATTATTTCAGTATAACATGTTGGGAGCCCTGAAAGGGATTTCATATAGTATTTTTCTGAAACAATACATGAGCTAAACATGGTGTATACAAGAAATATTAATAGCATAGGGATGTATGCACAAAAGCTATATAGACACACATATTTAAATGTTATATAACTGTATCCACACTTTCATATGCTCTTCTTCCATTCCCAAATTTCAATTATTTCAGATCCATCCATCTCTTTCTCACTCCCCTCTGCCTCAGCACCATCTGGCATGTTTTTCTGCAGTTCCAATATTATATGGTGTATTAAATAATAGAAAGTGTTTCACAACTGGTACTAGATGATCACTCTAAGTCTCTTCTAGTTGAAATGGTTCTATTATCTTTTATTCTTTTGTTTGTACATTACCACTTGTAGAGTAAGGGGTGAGAATTTATACAGTGGTAGTGCTCCTGCTGGAAGAGTACAGAGACTGTGCCTAAGTGCAATTTAAAAGGAACTGCGTTATTATAATATTAAAATAAACAATATGTCTGCCTACTCTCTAAAACTTTAGTACCTTCCATCCTGATACTACTTGTTGCTACACACTTGCAATTTCTTACTGACTTATAGTTCCTAACTGGTCCCAAATTTGAGGTTAGCAAAGGTTAAAAAGGCTAAAACCTTAGAAGGGTTACAATTGTAAATAAAGAGGCAGGGGTCACTGGTGACTGCTTATTGTGCACACCCAGGCTCTATAAGGAGCCTGCCCTGATAGGAGTCTGTGGAATCTGCTCTCAGAAGCAAATGAGGAAATTCTTCATTATGACTGGCAAGTTTTTCATATCTTCTCTTTGTTCTCAGGTTGCAAAACAGTGACATCCAGTAAAATTGCTAAAAGGGGCTGGGTAGGATCTTACAGTGTTGACATTGTGCTACTTGTTAGAAATAATACAGAGTTTCTCTACTAATTTATTTTTCCTAGTTAGTGTTAAATATGCTCTATTGACACTGAAGCAGAAGGAAGAAAGACTGAGGTTATCCTTTTATTTATTCTTTTCTCTGACTTTTAAGAGAACATGGAATTTCTATGGCCTACTGAAATATTTCCTTCTCTCTCCAGACTATTAGTCCAAAGTTTCTTATAACATTGTGCTGCTTAATCAAGACAAGGAGAAATCTTCATCATGCTACAAGATACAACTTTCCTTCCATTCCAACCTTGTTCCAAAAACCAAATCACAATGATCAATAAAATCATTCAGGGGCCATTATGTGGGAGGAAGAAAAAAAGAAGGGAGGAAACAGATGAAAGGCAGAACTCCCCCCCAAAGAAATCTTTATTCTGTCTGATTGGTACACTCAGCAAGTCTTTCTGCTTTCTTTTCCCAGCCCCCCAAGAGCTGTCTCTGACAGATTGGGTCTGTAGTTCTGTAGTGCAGCATCTCTAAGCAGGCAAATAATGCCCAAAATGACAACAGGGGGACACTTTGTCTTCTAGCAGCAGCCTTCAAGCACTCTCCAGTCCTCAGGACTGTTGCACCCCAAGTACCAGAAGTGAATTTTTGCAGATGGAGAGAAGAAAGGGAAATGGTTCCAAAAATAACTGGAGAAACAACAGCTACTAATGAATCTGAGGTTTAATTTTTAACTTCGTATTTTGATTCTCAGACTCCTGTTAGAATGTCCTTGTTTCATAGTAAGAATTCAAACAAAGGTGGGTCCTTAGAAGGCTGAAAACTGAAGATGTTTACACCTGTCCTTCCAGAAACTCATAAAGAATCCTAAAGAACTGACTGTAGAAATGATAACTCAGCACATATCAAATATGGAGATCACTACCAGAGAAATACAAATTCAAAGACAAATACTTTTACTTCCACTAGTGCAAGAATACATAAATTTTTGCTCCATGATTTCTATAAAACTTATGAAAATATCCATACCTTCGACAAAAAAAAACACCAGAATGAACAAATAAAACAAAAAAACCACCTACAATAAAAACCCTAAAAAAACCCACAAACCCAAAATGCGCAACCTTTTCCCCCCAAGTTTTGTATTATTATGGTAACAAATCTGGAAAAGCTTGGTAAGTTATTCCTGTCTACAGTACTTTTCAATGAGTTTCTTGGCCCTTTCAATTACTTTTCTGTGCTGCAAGAAGCCTTATGGACCCTGTGCCATCACTATGTTCCTCTGATGTTTTGAGACCAGGTGTAACAATATATATCAAACCTGAGATAATCAGAACTGATTTGAGATGGATATTCTTGTCCCTGGTGTTAAGAACTGTCAAAGCAAGGCAGCAGCCCCTCTTAAAGCCATTTGTGTCTGCCCGGTTTGACACTAACACAGGAAGTCTGCTCTGCCTTGAACCAGCCAGCCTGGGCTTAAAGTGCAATTTCCTCCAGACACTGGAATGTCCCTGTCAGCCCCCTTCCACCCCTCCTTTTTCCCTCAGAGCTGTGTCACATCCATCAGTCACAGGGATGTAAACCCCTCCATCCTGACTGAAGCGCTCTAATCACGCTCCTTTAACTAAGATTCATCTCCTCCCCTCATCTAGTGTTAAGTTACTTCACTATTTTCTAAAGCACGGGTGAATTTGAGGAAAAACTTTAAGCAGTGCTACAGCTCTTTTTATTGTGCACGTAGTGGCTCTTAAAAGAGCCTTTGGGTCTAGAGGGCAGCGGCAGGAGACTCTTCAGGCGCGCTCTCCGCGGATGCGGCGGGCCAGCTGGATGTCCTTGGGCATGATGGTGACGCGCTTGGCGTGGATGGCGCACAGGTTGGTGTCCTCGAAGAGCCCCACCAGGTAAGCCTCGCTGGCCTCCTGCAGCGCCATGACGGCCGAGCTCTGGAAGCGCAGGTCCGTCTTGAAGTCCTGCGCGATCTCGCGCACCAGGCGCTGGAAGGGCAGCTTGCGGATCAGCAGCTCCGTGGACTTCTGGTAGCGCCGGATCTCGCGCAGCGCCACCGTGCCGGGCCGGTAGCGGTGCGGCTTCTTGACGCCGCCCGTGGCCGGCGCGCTCTTGCGGGCAGCCTTGGTGGCCAGCTGCTTGCGGGGCGCCTTCCCGCCCGTCGACTTACGCGCTGTCTGCTTCGTGCGCGCCATGGCCAAGGAAAGGCACGGAAACCGCGGAGCGGAAGAGAACAAATGGAAGCAGCTCGCTGGCGCGGCCCCTTTTATAGGCTGCTTCCACTCCCTCATTGGCTGCCAGAAACGCGCCGCTCCTATTGGTTGATTTAAAGCAGGAGAAGCCCGCCAGAAAAGCGCGCGCTTTCACCAACGGCTGCCCGCGCTCAGCTGCCGCCCCAGCCCCTCCCGGTCTCGGCCCCGCCGCTTTTGTTCTAAGGGTGGTCTCTGTCTTTTCAATTTTTACAGCCTCCTTGAAAAATCAGATCCTTACGAAAAAAAGGTTCAAACTGGAAATGAGAAATTGCAAATTATGCCGGGCTGAATGCGTAGGAAATTTATGCTTTTCTCCGTTTGGCTTTTTTTTTTTTGTTTTTTTTTTCTTTTCTTTTTTTCTAAATTGGAGCAATAACGATATTTTGAGGCTTGGATTTTCGTTACTATGGGGTGCATGAGGTTGTGTATTGTGAGGAAGTTTTGGTGGGAAAGGCTGGGTTCCACTTAGTGTAACTTTCATCTGGTAAGGTAAATGCTTTGGTGCCAAAATTAATTGCAAATTTAAGTTTTCTAGTACAAGAGAGTGTTTTCAAACGACTGAATCTTTCAGCATTGCGAAGTATCCTGAGGTTGTCGCTGAAGTACAGTAAGGTGAATTTTCCATTTTCCTTACTCTACGCGTGCAATATTTCCCTATCGGGTGAGCTGCCTTTGGAGCCCGATCACAGAAGGGCTTTCAGGTGAAGGGGAGGAACAGACACCAGGTACAGAGAAAACCTCCGGCACCCCAAATTTAAAAAAATGTATTTCCTAACCTTAAACACAGAAGAATCACAAATAATGGACTCTATCCTGCACACCACAATCAGAGGACAACGGGGATCACTTATTTAGAAGGGACTTAGGGAGCTGATACCTCTCACAGTGAATTACAAAGGACATTAATTTAAATATAAATAGGTATATCCTTGTACTGTTTACACAATGAGGAAAATCCCCCCCACATAAGAGATCCCCGCAGGGAAACAGATACCTTTAAGCCTCTAGCACTAAGCAGGAAATTAGATTTAGATTGTTTTACTGTTTTTTTAGCTAAGCACTTTCTTACTAAGTACTGCCCCTATCTAGCTCTGAACATAAAACGCTCCAGTTATCAGCAACACTTCATGTTTGATGTTTTTAACTAAAATGGCTTTCAACGTACTAACAGTGAAATTTACTGAACAGTGAGTGAGAAAGTAATCATGCATTTCAAGTTAAGACGTAACGTTTCACTTTGAAGCAATACAGCTCTTTTTCAGCGTAAGTGTGCGGCTCTTAAAAGAGCCTTTGGGTTCTTGTTGAGATGGTCCAGTACGAGCACAAGACTTTAGCCGCCGAAGCCGTACAGAGTGCGGCCCTGGCGCTTGAGCGCGTACACCACGTCCATGGCGGTAACCGTCTTCCTCTTGGCGTGCTCCGTGTAGGTGACGGCGTCGCGGATCACGTTCTCCAGGAACACCTTGAGCACGCCGCGCGTCTCCTCATAGATGAGCCCCGAGATGCGCTTGACGCCGCCGCGCCGAGCCAGGCGGCGGATGGCCGGCTTGGTGATGCCCTGGATGTTATCGCGCAACACCTTGCGGTGCCGCTTGGCGCCTCCTTTGCCGAGCCCTTTGCCGCCCTTGCCTCGACCGGACATGATGGAACCGCTGCTGCTGCCGCTGCTGCTCTAAGCCACCGGCGCCCCCGCCGCCGCCTTTATTGCTGCGGGTCCGACCTGGTTGAGAACTGCAGAGCGGAGTTGGGGGCGGGGGGTGTTCCCGCCGTTTTCCCTGCGCGCGTCACCGGTGGTGAAACCTCGTTGGCCGCTCCCTCCAGGGTGCTGGTAAGTCCGGCAAGTAAAACAGAGAATAAACCTCCCCCGCTCACAAAATGCCAGCGATGGTCGTGTTATACAGTTCGAAAGCTTTGCCAGCCCTCCCCTCAAATTTGTATAAACCCTTTGCGTTTGTGAGCCTACTGTATTTTGTTGCACTGGCAGGGGTTGGTGTAAATGTTTTCAAATTCCCATAATTTTCATTCTGATATTCGTTAATAGTTTCGGTTATTTTGTATTCAAAGTGATATAAATGCTGTTTCCGAATTTTTAGTGATTTCAGATCTCTTAAAAACTCTAAATAAGTTTTCACAAAATTTAATTTTGTTGGCTTCTTTATTTTGCTTTCTACCTCCCATTTCTTAAACATTCCAATTTCACATTAGCAACTTTTTGTCTGTAAATACATATTGACCAGAAGGTGGAATATAATCTTCTTTATATTATTAAAGTTATATTAGTTTATGACTTCTGCTAATTTTGCTCATTTTGAGTTACTGCAGTGGGGTAATTTTAGGGTTTTTTTTTTACAAAATGACCTTTATTATAACTACACACTGAAATTTCTGCTCCTTGATTAGGAAAAAAAAGTCACTCTGCTTTTCACTATAGATTAAGCTTTTCAATTTCCCTTCCCTTCCCGCACCTTCCCGCACCTTCCCGCACCTTCTATATCAATTCTGGAAACAAAAGATATTCTGAATTATCTGT